TAAATAGTAAATAGTCAGTCGTTAGACATTCGTCAATCTCCTATATCACAAGTCACGTGCTTGAGACAAAGTATCATTTTGACCGCACAAAAGATGCGTCTATTGTGACTCCATTGCACGCTCCTAGTTCACGTGTACGGTAATTTTCCGAGAGGATGGCAATAGAACAATGGAAACCTGTGTAAACACACGGAATTTTTCATCTCTTATTGTTTTTTTCTGCTGACATCACTACTGAAGCTATAAACGGAAGATTACACATATCCCGTCAGTATGGTGGAATAAGGTAACAAACAGAAAACTTAAGTGATGTGAGGGGAATAGTATCTACATTACCAAGAATTAAAGAATGAATCATCGATCTACTTAGGAGATTTGATGCCAGAACGGAAGGTACGTTCATTAATGAACAATGTTGGGTTTGTGCCGCGCCAATTCACACACACAATACGAATGACGCAGTCTATGCGCGGAAGGTCATACCATTCCCGCATGTAGTTGTATCCATTTCTTTGAATCGTGCATCCAGAACCGCCGACCGTCTTCCTGAGCGGGTTTCACGCCGGTCGACGATGACACACACACTGTCTGAAATCAATAAGGGATGTGCCGCGTTGTACACTTTGTAAACATAACCAAGTTCAGCGAAGCGATTACAGACGCCGGTGCCAGTGCAGTTCATTGGAATGTTGGAAGCAACTTGTCCGGAGTTTCACTTTCACTAAATGTGTTAGAGGTCTAAATAACAAAAACAAACATTCGATACCAAAAGCTAGTTCATGCGGTAAAACTTAAGGAACAACGATAATGGCACCAGAATAGAAAAGATACGACAATCAATTTATCTTTCGCTGTCGAGACTTTTTGGAACAGAATTTTACAGTTTCGACAATTCACCCCGTGTGCATTTAAGCACAAAATGAAGCGAATAAGCTGTCTGATGGTTACCGGAAACGTTCCGGCGAATAAATATGGCCGAGACAAAATGAATGATGCCAATGTATCAAATCAGCAGTCCGAGTGACGGGACTCGAACACAAAGTTCAGATTAATGATTTAATGCTGGTCTATATCATTCAATCACAGCCTCATGGTTCTTGACTTGGGCAGTTCGCCAAAAATCGTAGTTTCTTATCGGTTGCACTATCCAACGGATTATGTAAATTCTGAGATCATTTAGAAGAAATACAAGTGACCTAGAAAATGAACGAGCCTGGCAACTTCAATGAGGTCACTGAAACAACTTGAAATAATGAGCAGTCAGCTTGACATCTTGAAATGATATTCGGACAACTTGAATTTGCAAAATATACAGTACTTATTCAAAGGTTGAAAAATGTATCTCCAGCCCAATTTGAGTCAGAGAATGAGTCTGAATACGTCAAGGGAATTCGCAATTTGGTGGGACGCTCCGGTTGAAATGAACAGCCTCATGTCATTATTGCGGGGCATAAAAACAGACTATCTACCAGGTAACTGTACATTTTAGGAGGAAACCTAGCTTTGTGCATCTCTTTATATACAGGCCTGACCTTGCTATCATGATAGGAACTTACGTGCCCTCATAGACAGGAGTCCAGAGTTCCAATATTGACTGTTTCAGTGAATTTGCGCTGGAGCGCTGTAGGTGTAGTCATAACCATGTTCAAATCTGATTCTTCCTAGTGCTGCTGATGTGATATTTATGTGCACCTCCGGTTTAGGAAGAAGAACACAAGTCACTGAACTGGATCAGGCTAACTATAATTATGTCGAAACAAGGTCAACAGATAAAATACAGACAAATAAACACTCAGGCTGTCATCACTGGCGAAGTCGATAGCAAAGGTCGACCAGTCACGGGCCATTCGGTGCAGGGTGGCTGCGGGTTCATACAAAAACTGCGGAATGTACGTGGGACTGCAATCTGAAGAGAGTTATTCAAAAATAACTGAGTACATTTTCATCTCGTTGGCTCTCTCTGTTTACATGTCACTGAGACTACAAAACCTGGGAAATAAGGTACGTTTATTCGGTCCTCCACAATCAATGTAAACTTGTACTTGCAGCCTCCAAGAGCCTCAGTATGGTCGGGGGTGAGTGTCTAAGGTTTCGGCTGCTCATCCTTCCCTTGCATCTTACGAAATGCTCCCACATGACCAAGCGTCTCGAATAGCCTCTGCTGATTAAGCCTCACTCACTGCCTTCTCGTGGTGGTGTTTTCCTACCAAAATGAGAGGACGAATAGCCAACATCCGGGGCTATAACCGGGTTGGTAGACCACTGGTATTTCATCTAGAGGAGTTGTCTAAAATCCCTGATTCCAAACTAACCAAGAAAAGGCGTACGAACCACACACAACTTCCGGGTTGTGGAAGTGATCACCGGCCCGATTGGGCATCAAGGTGTTTGGGCATCTGGGACATTTGACTTGGTCCAAAGGGCCTATGATCCGATGAACTGGACTATAGCCTCCAATGGATTGCGGTTTTCACACCGCCCCGTTACCGTGTGGGTCATGCTTCGGCTAACCAAAGGCTCCAGTTGTGGATTTTTCAAGAGAAATTATCTGTCTTGGCCTGGGCAACCTGGCAGTATTCCGCCCTTAAGCCAATCATGGAAAGTTTTGGTTTTCAATAAGATTATTGTACCAGGATTTCCTTGGCACACAGTCTGTATTCAGACGTGTGTGAACATATAAATACATACATGTAGAGTTGATAAACTGCCTCCAGTTGAAAAGGAGTGCACATACACATGTGCCGACAGTTGGTACGTCACATTTTTGATTCCAGTTGGGTTTTCTCGGTTGTGACAAATGCAATCAATTGGGCCAGACTACAGACGCTGGTTTGAAATTTGGCTTTAGTCAAGCGTGACCAGCTTTCCAAGCACTGTATTGATATACACATCACTAAGAAAGTGATATGTCAAAATATATAATAGTTCTAAATAACCACACGCCACAGTTTCAAGTGAAAATTCATTCATGAGTTCAATCGTATTACTAGATTTGTCTCTTGTTTCCCATCTAGCCTACTTCCTAACACATAGTGATTCGATATCTGAGAATGCGGTGTGTAACACACACACACACACACAAACACAGCTACGTATACACGAAGTGAACGATTTCTCACATTTTAATATTCTCCTCCCAACTCCTAGGATTTTTCCCGCATATAAACTATTATTGAAAACAAATGTTGGTCTGAATTTGTGTTCTAGATTCGATATCTGCTGAACAAATCGAGCAGATTATTATTTGTTTCCAGGATATTCCTTCTACCAAATCTGACCGAGATAGTAAAATTCGTAGAGATATCCCCACCACCTCGCACTGTAAATTAGGCAACATTTCGTGTATGCAAACGAGCCTATGTTGCCTCTCAGAGCTCGTCAAACGTATTCAGTTTTTTTCGGTCACAGCGCGTTGCACACAACCCCCTCGGGCAATTCACAGCAACCGCCCCGTTGCTACTATCATCAGTGAAAGAATCGCTATCTCCCGAAGCCAAATCTAATTGTATCTATCAGTTCACGTGCGGATGCTCGGCTATCTACATCGGCAGAACGGAGAGACAACTACGTTACCGAGTAACCGAGCCCATCCCGGTCTGAGTGGGAACTTCGGAAGTATGAGGTCCCCGATGATCCGTAGGAGACTCAGTTGATCGATCACACAACACCTGGTCGAAATGAAACACTGTATCATGCTGCGTGACGCATTCAGAATCCTCTACAACACAAACAACACCAAGGTTCCGAAATACGCCGAGACACTAGCCATTCAAAATTACCATCCCAAACTGTGTAAACAGCGTGAATAGCTTATCACTCTGGCGATACCTTGGTAACAAATGTGTTTGGTGAGTAGTTTTGACCGCAGTCTTTCTCCGCCTATGATTCCGTTATCTACTGACCATATATTACTGATCACATAGACTACAGTATGCACGTGTACAGATGCAGTGAAATGATCCAGGATACATTGTGCAAACCAGTGTTTTTGGCTTCTCTGTTCAAACTCGTTACGGGAAACTATGCTTCCAATCGGCAGTTCGTTGCGATCACATCAGTTGGCACCTTATTCTGTGCCAGTTCAATGGATCATATCCTTCCGCAATATTACACACTAATCAGGGTCAGTTGACTGGATAGTAGTGGGATTCTGGCATCCCAGTCTGGCCAATCAGCGCACACTAACCCGGTTCGACCATTGCCGGTCATCTCATACACACAGTTGTAAACACGCAAGGACAGGTACGCACGCAGGCACGTCCGCACATACGCACGCACACACGCATTCTCCCATACTCGGTGCGTACGTACGTTTCATTGCGTATGCATGCCGGACATGTACGATGAATTGTAGACAATGACGCACGCACACACATACACACATACACGCACACAAACGCACACACACGTGCAAACACTTGCGCGATCTGTAGTCCATTCAGTTTCAACAACAAACGTGTCTTAGCGCATCCTGCCTCTTCCAGTAATCCATAATAGGACGCCGCTGTTTTTGTTGTCCTCTGTTGGTGCCATTGTGTTGGACGATTATTTTATCAGAGTAAAGCTTAAGATAAAAAGGCAAACACGCTGGTCAGAACACCCACTTCTTCATCAATATCAAATCGTGCGGTGTTTGCTGAACGTTTCTGCTTAAGTACTCTTCATCATCACTCTGGAGCGGTCAGTGTTCATCTTGAGTTTGCAATTTTGATGCGCATCGAAACGTCTGTGCTTGTCATTCGGTCAGTCTAAATGTGGTAGACAGAAAATAGCGCCCGTGATCAGAGACCTTGCACGTCTGTGATCCTCACTCCTCCTAATGTGCTGATCGGAAATAGACAGTTCCCAGAGGAATGATATCAGGAACGGAAGTAAAGAATCCCAAACCAGCTGCGTCCGTGACCAGCTTGCTGAGTGCATCCAGTAACAGTAGCGGGGCAAGTGTGAGTTCGGCCAGTGGACAATCCTCATCCATGGCTGTGGCAACTGCCGTGCACAAAATGGACGCGGAACTTCGCTGTCCCGCTTGTCGACGCTATTTTCACTGCCCTCTATTATTACCCTGTGGACATTCATTGTGCACTGCTTGTGCTGCCAGTTCTCTACTCCCGGCCGCGGAACCCACTGTGGCCGCATCCATTCACACCACTCTGGCATTGCTATCCTCCACGGAAGGATATCGAGCCTTGATTCCTGGTGCTTCGTATTCCTCCTCGTCCTCTGCCTCGTCAACCGCTGGAAGCAGTATTGCTGGATCAAGCTCGGTCGGAACGGTTCAATCCAATCTCCCACAACCACCACCACCGCCACCACAACAACAACAACAAACGCAACAACCTGCC